TCTGTCTGTCTCTCTCTCTCTTTCTCTCTCTCACCCCAACTGGTCGAGACAGACGACCACCCACCTAGAGCCGAAGGATCTGTCCTAGGTTTCTGCCTTTTAACAGGCAGTTTTTCCTTGCCCTTGTCGCCAAGTGCTTGCTCATGGTGGTACTGTTGGGTCTCTGTAAAAGTATCCTGAGATAACTTTTGTTATGAATTGGCACTACACAAATAAAATTGAATTGAATTGAATTGAACCTACAGCCTATCTCATGAACCAACTCCTAATAATCGCATTACGGTAGTGGATGGAAACAAGCATTCATTTGCATTTTCTTTTCCAAATTACTTGAATTTCAGTTAAAATACATACATTTGGATGGAAATGCAATATTAAAACGGCACACAACCAATTTTGAATATATCCTTCATAAATCAGGAGTACTGTTACTCAGCCTGCGAGAACAGTTGCATAAAGTCTTCTGTGGCTCTGGAGGAGCTTTCTGAAGCTGTGTCACAGCTGTGGAGGTGTGCGGTTGGAAGTACGGGGATTGATTCCACTGTAAACTCAGGAACATCTGTGTTTGGTGGTTCAACATTTTTTTATAAAATATAGAGCATAAAGATATGTCTATGATAAACAAGGACTGACACAGTCCAGACTGGATACAGAGGTCCTCCTTTTTAACATACATTGTAAAGTGTCTCCCAGAATGCTTTAGCAGCTAGCAGGATTCTCAATTACCGGATGGATCTGATGGACAAAAACTTGAAGGATGACAGTGAGGATGAGGTCACGACTGACAGGCTTCCTTATATACAGTATATGATCTCTGTGGCCAGAGCATATAGCGGCTGCCAGCATTCTCTTGCCACTATCATGTACACACAGGCTCTATTCACACTCTAAATCCTCTCTTACAGAGCACCAATCAAATAGAACTCTTCAGGTTCACTGTTGGTGGTAATGACACAGTGATTACAGCTGACTGCATTAAACACTCGGTTCCCTGTCTGAATCAAATCATCTGATGAACTGTGCATGAGTAAATAACACTTCCAGTAATTGTCTTCATTTATTACAAGAGGTTCATTAACATGTTTTGATTTTGTACTGGAGCTTTTGGGTAAGTTTGCCGTACTACATCATCACTACCTTAGCCAGTGCGTGAAATGGACCCAAAAAGGTGCCAGTACCCCAATTCAGCATAACCCTAACCCTCAACATAACCCTAACCCTAATTCTTTTGCCGTTTATAATCCTTTTTAAACAAATACATTAAAAGTGCTGTCTTCTTAGTTTTAAGCCTATGTGTTTACACAGAGATGCAGTTACGCAGGCGTTTAGGAGCACCTCACCAGCATTAGCACCAAAGTAAAGTTATTTTTAGGCAAATATTTCACAAATTGTATTGTATACCCCTCTGCACTCATTCATGTTCCATTAATGCATGTTACTAACTTCACTTCTTCCCCGGAGTTCTTGTGCTTTCTCGTCTCGCAGGTTCTCATGGATCCTGGTGGAGCCTCCTGCCATGGTCCTGCTTGACTGCCATTGCTAATATCACTGATATTATTGTTATTATTATTATTGCTATTATTATTACTACAGTTACTATTATTACTATAATCACTGCTCATTGCCCCCCATCGTTGTTGTCGTCGTTGTCAGTCACTACTATTAGTGTAGGTGTTGCTACTGTTGTTGCTGTGTACCTTTGTCTCTCTCTCTCTCACCCCAAATGGTCGAGGCAGACGGCCACCCACCTAGAGCCGGGGACTGTCCTAGGTTTCTGCCTTTTAACAGGCAGTTTTTCCTTGCCCCTGTCACCAAGTGCTTGCTCGTGGTGGTACTGTTGGATCTCTGTAAATAATGTAAAGAGTTCGGTCTAGACCTGCTCTATTTGAAAAGTGTCCTGAGATAACTTCTGTTATGAATTGGCGCTATACAAATAAAACTGAATTGAATTGAATAGGTGAGGGTTAGAACGTGAATCAATTGGTAAACTGAAGGTAAGACTGAAAGCTTAACAGTCGGCATGCCGCCGCATCAACTGCCTGTCCCATCTCTCAGTTGGAGGGTCTAACTCTGAATGAAGTCGTGGATACAAGCAGCTGAAATTACCTTCCTCCGTAGGGTGTCTGGGCTCTGTCTCAGAGACAGGGAGCTCTGACATCCGCAGAGAGGGTACATCGGGCATCTGATTAGGAGTATTTCTGGGCGACACCTGGGTAGACCCAGAAGTCACTAGTGGGATTATATATCTAATCTGGCATGTGAATGCCTCAGAAACCTCCAGGAGGAGCTGGAAGGTGTTGGAAAGTTGTTATGCTGAACATTGTTCGCGAACAATATCCTAATAACAACATTCGCATTCATTTGGAGCCGTGTTTGTACCTGATAAATGTAAGTCCAATATTCACTCTCCTTACTCTCACAACCAACAGTCCCTTTTTTTATTATATTTATTTTTGGGGGCCTTTTCTTGCCTTTAATTGAAAGTGACAGCTGAGGAGTGACAGGAAACGGGGGGAAAGAGAGAGGGGAAGACACGCAGCAAAGGACCACAGATCAGAGTGGGACCCCTGGCCACCGCACCAGCCGCCCCTGGTACATGGGGCCAGCTCTACCAGGGTGTCCCAACAACAGCGTCATTTAATCCATTGTTATTATTGTTACATTGATTAGTGCAGATTAAGTATGTCCCTTTTTGAAAACATCTTCATAAACCCGCATACATTTCCTCTGAAGATAAAGACATGATAAAACGCATGCACAATCGTGTAAATGGGTGCAGCATCCCTATCCCACTATCTGAACTCCTTTCTACTGACTCAAGTAATTCTCTTTTTTTTCTCCTTCTATACTGCCAAAATGCACAAAAAAAGAGCAGGCAAACCCTCGGTGCCTCCACGTCAGGAACATTCTTCCATTCACATTAAACTAATCTAGTTAAGATGACACTCTTTGATCCTACTAACTGTAAAACCTGCTATATCTAACGTCTGCCATCTGCTGCCTCCATACTCTGTCTACAACCACTTTAATAGCATGCCACGTTGCAGAGCCAAAGCCACACTGTCCCTTTTTCACAGTAAACAACTGTCAGCAGTGGTTGCCAGAACTTTACTGTAATAAATACAGTAGAACTTTATTTACTATTGCAGTAAAAGTAAATTAGTACGGTTGATTTTACAGTTAAAGTTCATTCTGTATTTTACTGTATAAATACAAGTTTTTACCATCAAAAGAAACAATTTTGACAAAAGAAAATGCTGTATAAAGATTTTTCTTGCCTTGAAGTATGACTGTGAGTCATGAGTATTTTACTGTTACAGATACTGTATCTAACCTATTTAGAGTTTACGGTCTTTAACTGTGATGGTTTGACAGTTTTTCACGGTAAAATCTACTATTTTTACAGTGCATGAGCAATCACTGTAAATACATTAGTAATGATCAATTACAGGCATTTCAGACTTAATAGAGGAAGCTGTTTCAAACATTTCAACACTGTCTTTGTCTCAATAACTGACTTTATATTCACAAGTGTAGATTTCCTCCACGCTATAGCACAGAGACTACAATTGTCAAGGCTTTAAATGACATTTCTTTAAATACAGACTGGAGACATCTTACTTCTGGTCTTACTGGATCTTAGCACTGTGTTTAACATGGAGTATGTTGCTATACAGACTGGAGAACTGGCTTGGGTTCAAGTCATATATTAAATACAGACTAATTTGTTTTAATTAGTACATTGTCATTCCTAATTATTTACTGGCCACGTGGTGAAAATATGTTTATTTTCTGGCCAAACCCGCTTGGTGGGTGTTGATTTCAGACCCTGGGTACAACTCTTACCAATAATATCATAACTTTTCTAAGCAATAACAGCTACTTTATTGGAAAGACAGAAATCCTCTTCTGTTATGAATGCGGTTCAATGAGTTGTTATTCTTTTTCCAAATGAAAAAACGCAGATTTCTTCTATAAAGTTTGGGGTTCTCTGTCAGATCTCATGAAAGCACCTAATCCAGTTGCTGTGTTAAACAACTATTTGGGTGTTTTGTTTTTAATTAGATTTTCCTCTTTAAAGTTTAAAGCTGCAGTAGGTAACTTTTATAAAAAATAACCTTTTGTTATATTTGCTGAAACATTCAGTATTATCAGCCAATATATTGTCCTAGCTCTAGTAGCTGCTGAGTGGATACAAATGTTCCTGGAGGTTCGATTCAGAGGGCCCAAAATCTCTCATGATAACTTTGCAAACAACTCTCATATCGACAATGCTGTATTAGTCCCATCAAACTGTTTAACAAGTGCACTGAACAAATCAGTGATTGAATGATTTACAGTTGCAGACTGAATTATTTTCTGTGTGGAGATTTCTCTCTCGTGACACAGTATCAACATTATCTTTCATTTTCCCTCTCAGTCTGCTGCAGCAGGGCTGAGATTCTCTGTTGCAACAGTCTGAGATATTAAAGACAGCTGCGGAATGAGGAACTATTACTGAAGCATTTCACCCATCTGGTGTCAGTTTAGAGAACGTTAAATAAGGGTCCAGAAACGCATGGAAAAACACTAGTGGTGTCTTAATAAGCCCATCACGTCTCCCATTAGTTTATCATGTTATGTAATTAAGAAAAATTTGGTTAGATTTCTGCTGCTGGGGGGGGGGGGCACACACTCCCTCAACTGGGCTTCAAATACTTCATTGCTGCCTTGAAAAAAAAATGAATCTCGCGAGACTAGGGCTGGAGCTAATGATTATTTTAAATGTTGGTTCATCTGTCAATGGTTTTCTCCATTAATCATTTAGTTGTTTGGTCCTAGAAAAAAGGGTTTCCAAAAGCCCAAGCTCACATCCTCAAATGTCTTGTTTTGTCCACAACACAAAGATATCCAGTTTACTGTCACAGAGGATTAAAGAAAGCAGAATCTACTCACAGTGGAGAAGCTGAAATCAGAGAATTTGGACTTTTCTTCTTAAAAAAATGACTCACAAAGATAAATTGATTATCAAAATAGTTGGTGATTCATTTAATAGCTGACAACTAATCGTTGCAGTTCTACACCAGACCAGTATGTACGGTCACCACTCAACCGACTTTAACCTGGATTCTCACAGTTTCTGTCAAACACGAGATCCAGGATGGAGAACTTCAATGGCCACTTCTCTCGTTAACACATCACAGTGTTCTAACACGTTCCAGCTGTTGGACATGGCATATAAATTCACTATAACAGCATCTGGTGTGTTATTTTTCATGTGGTTGTCTGAATCCAAAAGTGAAATGTCTATGTGTGTGTTAAGAGGCCTGAGGTTGGCAGTCTGGAGTCTCTGTGCTGATGTTTTCATAGTCTTTGTGCAAGTCCAGCGGTCCATAAAGGCTCTCCAGTACAGCCAGTACTCTGCTCTGGACTGAATCCACCTGCTCTACTGGGCAGTATTCGTCTAGGCTGGACCTGAAAACACACAAACACATTTATGCTCTCTTACTCAAATCTTATTTCACTCGAGACTCTTACTGGTGTGGATCTTTAACTCTGCGTGGCTGTATTATTGACCTGGACATTGTAACCAGTGTGGGTCTGGGCAGAGCCTTCAGAAACAGCTGTACGGCAGAGATGTGTCTGTCGATCTCCTCGTCACTGCTGATGTGGTGTGGCAGCTCAACAGAGTCACAGGTTAATCCCGCCTGATGCACCTGAGAGAGGACGGATGGAGAGAGGAGGAGGAAGAGGAGGAGGAAAAGGAGGAGGAAGAGGAGGGTCGAAGCAGAACAAATCAGAGGGGAGAGGAATGGTAAATGGTAAATGGACTGCACTTATATAGCGCCTTCCCCATTTACACATATTCATACACTGATGGCAGTGGCTGCCATGCAAGGTGCCAACTGCTCACCAGAACGGAAACAATCATTCATACACACTCACACACCAATGCACAGCATCAGGAGCAATTTGGGGTTCAACATCTTGCTCAAGGACACTTCGATATGCAACGAGAGGAGCCGGGGATTTAACCACCAACCTTAGTGGACGACCCGCTCTACCTCTGAGCCACAGGAAAATAATAAGAGAACATTGCAAGGAGAAAACATGGAAGAGGAGAGAAGCAATAAGGTAATATAAAACATAGCCCCAGTTAGGGGTGGGCGATATATATCGTTTGCGATAATATCGTCATTGTTGTTTTTACGATGTGCAAATATCGAGTATTTAAATTACTTCGCCAAAAATATTGAAACGCACGCGGAAACTCCTCACATCCACTTAATACACGGTGCAACAACGCTCTCTACAGCATGGGCAGGATTCAGTCACACGACAAGTGGGCCTACATGATCACATGACGTGATCACATGACCTCTCGCTAGCATCCTCCTTGCAACAGTTTACTTTTTTAGCGCAGCGCTCAGAGCGCTTCAAGTTGAAATGTGTTCAACTTTTAACAACGCTGGGCGCCCGGACATTGAGTTTTTGAGCTCTCAGCGCTAAAAATGCGTTTGGTGGACACAGGCCCTAACTCAGACAATTCCAATCACATTTTAAAGGATATCGACTGATTATCGTTATCGCCAAAATCCCCCAAAAATATCGAGATATTATTTTTTGCCCATATCGCCCACCCCTAGACCCAGTAATGTCTGACACTTCCATTTTAGTTATTCATGCCTTTACTTTGAAAACCACAGCATTATCATTATTATCATTATTATTATTATTATTATTAATAATAAATAATTGTGTTGTTAATGTGTAAATGTTTAATTCAAATCACATGCAAAGTTGAATGTGCTTAAGTCCCACCCTTTTTTGCCCTCTGCTCCAATAACAGTTGAGCAAGCCTCAATCAGAACCTTGGTCAACTTCCTCCTTTCCTGTACTTAGATATGCTACGTGCTAGGCTAATTATTAGCTAATAGTTGAAAAGACAACCACATTTTGAAAATGGTTGAAATAACAGTATCATAATTACAGTATGATTATATAATGATACTACAGATCCAGTACTTTATTGTGGTTTTCGTAGCTGTGGTACGTACACTTACAGTAACATTCTTACCATTTCATAGTCAGGGCACACATTTCTCGACTTCAAACTGGAAACCAGTTGGGCTAATGAAGCCATGCTGGAACACATGTAGGAAAAGAAAGGAAGATGTTACACTCTAGCTATACCCTAAAACAAGTCTCACAGTGGACAGAAAGTAGGGTCCATGGATTTTATGTGAACAGTCACACAATGCAGTGCTCTGTATATTATAGACAATTACAGCTTGCAACCCTTCATCTGTCTGTGATCATACAAAATAGATTAAAACATGTCAGAAATCTCAGTTTACTGCTCACCACAGAGGAAACTACTGAGAACTACTGTGTGCTTTTGTTGCAGCTGTCAGAGCTGGTTAAGTTCCACCTTTTATCACCGAAGACTTTTTGACACAGACTATGAAAGGCACAGGTGCTATTAGCAACATTAGGTGTCTGATCTCATTCACTCCTCTCTACATCATAAACACGCAGTAGTTCACTCTGTAGTGAGCAGGAAATTGAGATTTCAGATACTCCCTAATAATTGTCCGTCTGTAATATCCACATTTACTTTTTTTGGTACTGCAAGTCAAAATGTCTGCTGTGAAAAACGTCTTTAGGTAGATTGGTGACTTAATAGTGGAAGTGAAATGTTTTTTGGCTAACGTGGTGGATAGGAAGGTTTTGCACCAACACACAGTCCTGACTGAAAGTGTTAGCGTAAGCCAGAGAAGACAGCAGCTGTTTTCACAGGAGCACTATCCCCAAAGATAGGTAAACTCTAGAAGAAATCAGTGGAGTGCTCCTTTATCCAATCCAATCTAATCCACTTTATTTATATAGCACGATTTTAACAAACACAAGGTTTCCAAAGTGCTGCACAAAAGATAAAACAGAATAAATAGATAACACAATAGAAGTACAATAGAAAGATGAAGTACACAATAGAAAGATAAAAGCAATTAAATAAAAATAAAATAGTGACATTAACTTGAAATCGGTTTCAGAAACTTTACCCAGGGTTGCTGGCCCAGCGTCTTACTGTCTCTTCTCCATCATCCTCCAGCAGATCAGCAAACGCTGCTTCCAGGTCTTCTAACTGATGTACACGATGGTCCACACACTCATCAAGCTCCTCCTGGACACACACGTAATATGTGTGAACATTTAAACAAACTAATTTACCACAAAAAACCTCACCAGAGCTTCAACTGCTTGTGCTTCTAAAGTTAGTGCTGAGAGTGAGTATATCTGGTTTGGATAGTGTGTGTAGGTATGTACAATTAGACTGGAGGATCTGGGGTTTCTGCTTCAGAGGATTACACTTAGACACTCTGGAATTATTTAAAACTCCACTTAATGCTCTAACTCATGCAGAGTCACATTTTAAGTTTGAGATTTTTCTAAAGTATCTACGGTTTAAACAGTACTTACTCTCGTGGACTGAAAATTACATTCCCAGTGACTCACCCCTGCTGCTGCGGGGCTATAATTTCATGCAGACACTGACTGCAGTGTGTATATGTGCACACAAGCATACAGTCCTCACAGATACATCATTGTTTGCATATGTGTTCAACCACACCTGTGTCTCTAGTCCTACTCTGTGTTTGTGTGTAAGAGGGTTGTAATCTTTGGTTGAAAACAAAAGGTCTGACCTGATCAGCATCAGGGCTGGGTCCTCTGAAGTTGTAGAGCTCCTTAAGGATGGTGTACTCTTCCTTGACACAGAGACAAACGTGCAGCTGAGGTCAACTCAAGGAAACATGTTTTACTGTGTTGCACTTAAACCACAGAGGGATCTTTATGTAGATGCACATAGTCTGATATGTAAAGTAGCACACTGATAGTACTTCAGGTTGCTGTCTTTGAGCAGAATGAGTGAAAGACTGGATCCTGTAAGTAAAAATGTGAATTTGGGAATAATATGGTCAGGCTCATACACTTGACACCTGTCAAATTCTTTAGCTCAATTTCATTAGTCTTTAGTCTTTGAATGAATTTCATTGTATCTATGACATCATCTGAGGATCTGATGTCATGAGAGGTAAAAAAAAATAGTATTGGATTCCTGTGACACTAACTATATGTTTAAGATAAATGGGTTAAAAAGGTGTCTTCTGGAAGACATTTTTACCAGAACTGTTGTTTAAGCTTTCTGTTGTTTTGTAAAGCAACCAGCTGTGTTTGGAGGATCTGTCATGTCCACATGTTTTCTCCACATGAAACAATGCTTAACAATTCATAATAAGGTGCTACTTCTCAAACAAAGTGACTTGTATTTTGAATGTAACACTTCTGAAACATCGGCTAGTATAAGGTGGGAGGCATTTAAGGCCTTCATTAGGGGTCAAATCATTTGTTTCACTAGTTAAAAAAAAAAAAAGAGAGCACTACTTGAAATGAAGAAGCTAGAAGGAAAAATTAAAAAACCTGAAACTGATCTCTATCAAAATAAATTTAGCCCACCAGATACGCATACAGAACTTCTTACTCTCAGATCTCAGTATAATGAATTATCAGCTAATATATAGAAACTCCAGATGGGAAAACTGTTGTGAACCCTGAAGAAATTAGTGAGACTTTCAGGGTCTTCTATGAGAGACTGTATAGCTCTGAGTGCTCTCCCAGCCTGGATGGGCAGACAACATTTTTGAATGACCTCAACATCCCCAAACTCTCTGAAGAGGAGAGCAAGACATTAAATGAAGAAATAACAAAACAGTAGATAGCAGATGAGATGGGCTCTATGCAGGCTGGAAAAGCAGCAGGCCTTTATGGAATTCCCATAGATCTATATAAAACATTTCAGTCCAAACTACTGACACCCTTATTGGAGTTGTTTCAGGAATCCTTCAGGAATGGTCTCCTTCCCGCATCCATGAGGGTTGCCTTAATCACACCGCTTCCAAAACCGGGAAAACCAAATACAAAATGTGAAAATATGCGGCCAATTAGCATCCTAAATTCAGATATAAAAATATTATGCAAAGTTCTTGCAAGAAGATTAGAAGGCCAGCTTCCTCAGCTAGTGGGAGGGGATCAAAATGGATTTATCCAAGGTAGACAAGGGTTTCACAGTGTCAGGCGAGTACTGAATATTTTACACAGTCAAAGAGTGATGAAAGACATGGCCTTGCTTTCACTTGATGCTCAGAGTCCTTTGACTGTGTCGAATGGCCTTAACTGTTCGAAGTGCTTTCCACGCTTTGGCTTTGGAAATAGATTTTGTAAATGGGTCAGATTGCTTTGTACAGGACTTACTGCAGAAGTCTTAACCAATAATGTTGTCTCTAAACCTTTTAATATCTCTAGAAGTTGCCCGCAAGGAAGCCCTCAATCCCCATTACTGTTTATTCTTGCAATAGAACCACTTGCAATAGCAATTAGGACACAAACAGATATTTATGGAATTTGGGAGGGACAGCGCTTTTTGCAGACAACGTAATTCTGTTCCTAAAAAAATTAAATATTTCCATCCCAGCACTTATAGATCTTATTGAAACCTTTGGAAAAATATCTGGATACAAAATTAATTACTCAAAATCTTCTATAATGTTACTTAATGAATCAGATAGGATACATGGCAATGTTCATGTCTCTCCTTTTAACTCTACAGATAATTTTACATATTCAGGTATAAAAATTTTCCCTGAGGTGAACAAGATTTCTCAAATAAACTATGACTCACTGCAAGAAACTACGACCTCATCTCTAGAACGCTGGACATCATTACCAATATCAATGATTGGCAGGATAAATATCCTAAAAATTAACATCCTTCCTAAATACCTTTATTTATTCCAAAATATCCCCCTACCCCCTCCCTCTTCCTTGTTTACTACAACTAGAAAATTGTTTACCAACTTTATTTGGCAAAATAAACGTCCAAGATTACGCTTATCCTTAATGTATCTACCATACGACCGAGGAGGCCTTCAGTGCCCAAACATCCAGTGGTACTACTGTGCAGCTCAACTGCAGTCCATCATGTTTTACGTCTCTTATGAAAACCCCCCTGCCTGGATAGACTTGGAATCCTCCTTGGTGAGGCCTAGCTTACCATTTCACTTGTTTTTGTACTCAGCGGATCGGAAAAGTTTGAGGAAAAATACAGACAACCCTACTGCAGTGTTTCCGCTAGGATTTTTTTTTAGCAGTGGGGGCAGGCCCGTCTGAACACGCCCCCCCGTCCCGTCATGCCGGCAAACGTTTTACATATGAAACAGAAGTGACACTTTGCTGCGACACAAACAAATATATTTACCGTTTTAATGTTTCCAGATGTTTGATATCAGGACGTTGAGCTGAGAACTGACAAGTTGAACGTTGTCCAATTAAAACAGACCCACCGCGGTGACGTTTGTGGTGGAGCTGTTAGTTTAATAGTCGACTTGGAAGAAAGCGAACGTTTTGACAATAAACTACATCAACACAACAGTATGTGGAGTTAAACTGGACAGCCCCAATAACCTCTGAATAGTTCTACTTGTTACATTGCAATGTGAGCAGCAGCCAGCGGGGGTGCATTATGTCGGCAGGATCATTTAAAAGGCAACCGTGACTACATTGTGCGTCTGCCCCATTTCTGATACCGTGGCGGCAGAAATTTAACAGCAGCGGGCCGCCGCTCCAAAATCAACATAGAGGAAACACTGCTATTGTATTAAATATGATTGACATTTGGTTTGACACTTGCAAATATTTGAACATTAATCCGTCTTGGTCATGTTTTAGTCCTATTTGGGGTAATGCCAATTTCAAACCAGGGAGTAGCGAGCCAGGATTTCTAACATGGGCTGAAAAGGGATTAAGGACAGTGCAAAATATGTACAGAAAAGATGACGTATTTATGTCCTTTTCAGAAATATCAACCAAATATAACATCCCAAAAACGCATTTCTTTAAATACCTTCAAATAAGGAATTTATTATCGTCATCTCAATACTATTCATTGGACATACCCATTACTTCCTCATTAGAGACAACAATTACAGGACATTGTTATGGTAAAGGTTTAATTTCATCCCTGTATGATTTGCTCATATCCGGGTCTGATGAATCTTCAAATCATAAGTTGAGACAGTGGAAGGAAGATATAGTGGATGAAATATCACTACAAGACTGGAAAGGGGCATGTATGAAAGCTCAGAAACAAACAATTAACAGCAACCTGAAACTTATTCAGTATAAGTGGCTGATGCGTACATACATAACCCCAGTCAAATTGCACAAGTTTAATGATAACATCCCTGATACATGTATTAAGTGCAATGAAGCAAGAGGAACGTTGTACCACTGCGTATGGGAATGTGTGAAAGTGAAATCCTTCTGGCAAGATATTATTAATATGATTGCTCAGATATTAGCTAAGAAGTTACCACTGGACCCCAAGCCTTTTCTTCTGGGTATATATCCAACTATCCCACAATTACAAAGTAAAGAATCTAGATGTGTAGATATGTGTATATTACAAGCTAAACGCATCATTTCCTTATATTGGAAAAATTTTGATGGACCAAGAATTGGAAGGTGGATTAAAGAGATGGCATCAAACATGACAATGGAAAAGATAACATACATTATTAGTCGGAAGCAACATGTTTTAGATGACATCTGGAGACATTTTATATATTTTTTTAAGACATGACGCCAATGTTGGTAACGTGCTACAGCAGGAGGAAGCTCTGAGAGAGTAGAATGTCCATGTGGTGTGATATAATGTCCTGAGAAACGCCCTTGAAATGCATCAATGTTATAACTGTTTTCAATATTTGTTTATTTAATCAATATGCAATGTGCATATATATGTGTGTATAAGTATGTGTATCTGTGTCCATGTGGGCATGTATATACTGTATACCATATCCAGGGTTCTATTGTTATCAACATTATTTTTAATTAATTAATTTTTTTTTGTTCTATTTTTATTTTATTTTATTTTTATTGCTTTAACACCTTTTTTTTTAATACTTATTTGGTGAGGGGAGGAGGGGATGGGAGGGAGAACAGGGAGAAAAGTTTGCTTTGTTGCATGTAATAGTGACTTGCTGTTTGATTTTCTGTAAAAAACTAATAAATACATTCATAAAAACAAAAGGTGCTACTTCTCCCCAAATGGCATAAAAAAAATACAGGCTTAATTTACTCCTGTGTATACAACTATTAGCTTAAATTGCAAACATTTACCAAACATGATCAAACACAACAATTAGCTGTTCACTGCCTTGCTCAATATACCAGTATGTACAGAGGAGGAGCTTGGAGATCAGAACACTAACCCTTTAATCAATGCCTGACCCACTCTACCACGTGAGCTACAGCCCCTTAAATCACTAATGTACACCAACCAAGCCCCAGAAAACATGAACAATGCCTGGAAGACCCGTCCATCTCTTTGAGGGTGATACTCTATCCGGTTCCAGCTCATTTCTGTGGCAGCAGTCCTTCGTTTCTATTAGAATAATGGAATTTTCCTTTAAAAACCCCCATGGACTCTTCACTTTCTGGATATGATGTATTTCCTGTGGTTGAAACAGACCATTCAAACTCTAGTCTAATGGTAATTTCCTGTTTTCAGGAAGTTAAAATCTGTTACAAAGTGGTTCCAATCAAGGATAATATTTTTAAACAAGTGTAAAATATCAGTTGGCTGAAAGAATTCTCTGCATTAGCAGATGGTTAATTATATGATTGAAGTTTTAAAGTGTATTACATGTTTCTAAATTAGCACACCTGTGGCGGAGGTGTGTGAGTGGGACATACCTGTGTGTATAATTCCTTGAAGGGATTCTTACATGAGAAGAAATCCAGATCAATGTCCAAGATGTATGGCTCTGTCTCGCTGAGAAACGCAGATATGCTCTTAACAACATAACTGGTGGATCCCACATCATCGTCACCCCCCAGGCTTGTCCCATTGTTGCCATCTGCTGGCTGCAGTGTGACGGTGCATCTTAAGAGGGGCTCAGAGCAGCTGGCTTCCCCAGCTGTATCATCCTCTGTACGGGCTCTCTTGGTACCCCATCTCTCTGCATCCGCTTCTGTTTTTCTTCCTGAAATGTAACACCCAACAGCACAGAACAGACGTCTATGTTAAACATGTATTTATCTACCACAAACACCAGAATAATATCATCCAATCAAATGTAAGTACTACATTTCTTTAAGTGAAAAAATGTGTACGCGTCTGAAAATGTACTAAACAACAGCCCTGGGTTAAACGTCAGTTGGGACAGTCAATTCATGTTTACATTCTGTTTGCTTTAGCCCCGTTTCAAACTGACACCGGGTTTAGTTGATTTTCAGGGGATAACCCCTCTGGACCACGGCCAGCAAGCCCTAGGCTAAAGTCGGAGTTATAATGTGCCAAGATTGTGCCGGTGTTAAAGTTTTATTAACTTGGGTCTAAGATTGTTCTAAGAATGCTTTTAGCCCTGGGCTAAATGCGGTGTGAAAAGCCCTTAAAGCTGGAGTCTCCAACTCGAACGGCTTAGGGCCACTGCAACATTCAATTACTATAAGAAAGTGCTAAACTATAAGAAAATATTTCCATTATTAACAAAAAAATGCAAAGCAAACTGCAGTTACTATATATTTTATATCATAATTTTAAAACGTCTTTTGTTACAAATGAAGGCCTGAAACCTGTTCTTTGCTCAACCACCTGCAGGCATTTGTCAGACCTTTGATCTTTGGCCACAATTGCACTCTATTGATTAGTCCTCTAATCGGAAGGTTGTTGGTTCGATCCCCGGCTTCTCCGACCGTATGTCAAAGTATCCTTGAGCAAGATACTGAACCCCAAATTGCTCCCGATGCATCAGTGTGTGAATGTGTATGAATGAGTTAGTCTCTGTTCGATGGACTTTACCATCACTGAGTAAATGTGTGTGAAAGGGTGAATGTGGCACGTAGTGTAAAGGCCCGGACACACCAATCCGATTATCGGCCGTCGGACATCGTCGGACAGTCAGGCGAGGTCGGTGACTCGAGTCGGTTCGGTGTGTCCCGTGCCGTCGTCAGTCGGAGTCGGCGTCATCGTTCATTTTGGCCGATTCGACATGTAGAATCGGCCAGTGGCCGTCGGCCTCAATGACCAACGCCAGTATCTTGTTATTATTAGCCATCGTATTTTCCGCTCAGCGAGTAATGACAATAACGATCCTTCTTGACTACTATCAACACCCTCTGATGAAAACAATGACTGACGACAGCGTGCTCTGTGTTTATTAGGTCTAAAGTGATCCGTCATTTCCGGTTTTCATTTTTTTTGGGCGACAACACAGACTAGCGCCGCCTGCTGTTATGGGGAAGTATTACGCCTTGCGCACGCGCAGAACGTACGCTCCAGTCGCCCTCGGTTTGGTGTGTTCGGAGGCACTTTTTTGACCGACTCGGGGAGACGGGAGCCGACTGATCGGTCTGACTGCTTTTCTGCCAACACATGTACTGAGTTATTAATGGAGGATAACAGAATGTGGGTGTGCCATTTTAGCGACTTTTGCAACTGGTTCCAGTCACTGGGAGGGGCAGACTGAAAAGAGTGACGGTCGAAGGAGGTACAGACTTTAGGAGTGTCCATAGTAATGAATATGCTAGGACGCAAATTGACATAACTTTTTCCCCACCATCCCAAAACTCACAAAGCGCTAACATCTTTCCACAGCAGCCACACTGATGAGGCTGCCTGCAGATGTGTCTGAAGACATTTTTTGTCTAGCACAGACGTCAGATGATGCCGATTATCTCAAAATGCCAAATGATTGGCCCGATTAATCGGTTTATCACTAGATCTGACGCCTGGTGTGGAGTGATGGCCAGTTGACTAGAAAGTACAGATTACAGTGATGAGTGTTGGAAGGGGCACCTGTGACAAAGCAGATGGCGGTGTGGTTGATGACAAATGTGCAAATTGCAGAAGCTGCAATTTCTTGATAAAGGTAAAATGTGTGACAAACAGCATTATAACCAAGTCTAATCTACAAATCTTGTTCTCCATATTTAGGAAAACATGTTTGTTTGGTACAGACCACCAAAAATTTCATGATCATGATTTTAATAGTTTTTTGGGGGAAAATTGTATTTATTTATTTTGTGAACACTTTATTGCAAAATCTGTCAAAAATAATAGCAATATGATGTTTTTACTGTATCTTGTAACATTTTGTAATTGTATATAAAGGGGTAGTTTAAAGTAATATGAAACAAATAGAAAAAATAATTAAAAGGTGGATTATTTTATATTTTTAACATCATGTCGCAAGCTGGAGGGAGGAGGATGGAGTGCTGGAAATGGCCCCCGATGTGGGCAGTTTGAGATCCCTGCCTTAAAGACACCCACTCCCAGGCGGATGAGTGGGGTATCTTACAAAATTGTAATCATTTGAATAATGTAGCTGCCCCTATGCTTTTACAGTAAAGAAAATTATTTTTAATAAATGACGTAAACAAATGTGTGGTGGATTTACCAGAAAATCAATAAAAATTGCAAAAGATAAAATGTTTTTTTAAATATCGATATCAGTATTAGGCTCAGAAATCCTGTATCAGTCAGCCTATACTTCAGAAGGCTGCAGGAAATCAATGAACTGAAGGAGAATTTTTTTCATACAGTTACAGAATGTAACAATCCCTCATATTCCTTTATGACATGCACTAGTTTACTGCTGTTCCGTCTTCACCCACAATATTTTGAAACCTCACAGTAGCTTCAGCTAAACTTTAGAATTAATTTCTGTAAAGAACGAGGACTGTGGAGTTGTGTTAGGTAGGGATAACTTCAAGGCCAGCACAGACAGAGAGAATTACTACAAATAACTTTTTCAGTGTTGAATTAAAATAGAGCTATCATTTGAAGAAGGGAAAAAGGAGACACTGATGTAAGAGATGAAGGTTTCAACATAGTCCAATAGGGCTTAGCAAGTATTTTGTGAGGTAGGAAATGTATTCAGCATGTTTGCTATGCTTTTTAAATTCTAAAAAGGAGCGCGATTATTTTGTATACTCGGTAAATTCTCGTGTTTTGCAGAAAGCTGGTAATTTTTAACCATGTCTCTTTCCCGCAGGGGCCTGCATTCACTATTTCCACTTGGTGATCAGAGTGAGTGCCTTAAAAGCATTGCACATTGTAATTTCGCAGCTCTGGTCCCAATGACACTGCCACGTTGTTTTGGCTCTGAGAGAGGAATCAATCACTTGAGTGCTGGAGAGTTAGTGATAAGAGTCAGCGGCTGCTGTATTCAGGCACCAACAAACAAATCTTAAAATCTCGAAAAGGACCCTGACAAGTCCAAATGAGACACACCTGATGGAACCCAGACAGCATTACATGCATGAACTCTTCAAACATCCGCAAACAAGTTAAAAAAGTTACCACTAATAACAATAATAAGCATTTATTATCATTTTATGTAACAAACACTATGTGTAATGCGTTACCACATGCTAGTGTATCCTCACTCCCCAGACTCCTTCATAAAAACGTCCCTTCAACGAAGCTCAATCGTCTCTGGCACAAAAATATCTCTGGTTGGAAATCAAAGTAATCCAGCTCCTAATGGCGCTAACGTCCTGACTACAGTACAGTACACACCTGAAGTTGACCTGTTACTGGCTTTGACGGGGTTCACTTTGACCACGTTCAGCCTGAGTGGTTGAGGGTTCTCCAGCTGCTCCTCAGAAACATACAGACCATCACTGAGGAAGTAGTTGTCTGTGCTGGTCACCCTGCAGAGGGACAGAGAGAGGAGGTGGACTTCATGACGAACCAAAGAGAAACAACAGGGAGAAAGTCAGTAATTTCATTTAAAAGGCCCTTCACTTCGACAAATGCCCTGTTGGTTTTGTAGTATAATATAATATAGTATAGTCTCATTTAGATTCATTTTGTTCAAGTGTTTTTGTATAATATAGTCTCTTCTATAGCACTGTAAAACTTTACGATAATAAATACGATAGATTCTACTATTACGGTAAAAGGATATTAGTACTGTTGAGTTTAAGTTTTTACCATCAAAGGAAAGAGTTTTGCCATATGCAAATACCATATGAATGCTGTATAACAAAGGTTTTTGGCATTAAATATGACGGTGGTCTGTAAAAAAACGACGATTCCATAGAAATTCCTTTAAAAATGACATTTAAATAAAAGGCTTTGCCATGAGATATGACTGTGAGTCATGAGTATTTTACTGTTACACAAACTGTATCTAACGTATTTCGAGTTTAGGTGTTTTATTGTCATGGTTGGACAGTTTTTTTTGCAGTAAAATCTACAGACATTTTTTACAGTGTAGCACAGATAGAACGATTCATCGTTTGGCTTTGGATTGGATTATCTAGCATTTTCAGATGTCTGTGCTCAACACAAACTGTCTGCAGACACATCTGCAGGCCGGCTCGTCAGTGTGGCTGCTGTGTTACGATGTGTGAGTTTTTGGGAAGATGGGGAAAAAGCCCGGTACTATAACTCTCATACATCCTGCTGTAAACGATTAGATTAAACTAAATTTAAACTAAATTTCCTCAGTCACCATCGTCTCTTCTAAATCTTAACACTTATCTCCCATCCCACCAAAGACAGCAAATATAATCTACAACTGTTATTGGCTAGCATTATATATAAAAAGTTCAATGATGCTGCTTCTGATATACTGTTTCTCGCTCTCTCTTAAATATCACTTTCTGAAATCTACAGCATAAACCAGTGTTTCATTTCTGTTTCATTAATTAACAACAAATCCATTAAAACCACCTGTTACTAGCTAAGATAACCATGTCTATCAGATTGTTATGTGCATGGAATAATGGAATTACACATTACTTTCTTTGTTTTAATATTGGCATTATATATTGGCTGTGACTAATATATAAGTCTATACTATAGACTATAAAGAATATAAAGATACTATAGACTCTATAGTCTTTTCAGATGCATAGAATAGTGTAAGGGTTTTGTAACCGAGCGTCCTGACTTCACCTAACTGTGTTAACTTAATAGGAAACAACAAACAGGACTATAGGTCTCAATTTTAAACAGTGTTATTTATTTAGAACAGTTTGCTATTTATTTAGGTGTCTTTATAACAATATAATAGACGTAGAGAGCTACATTTTTGGAGAAACTCACAAAAGCTTAAATTTACAGTGATTCATAGATCGGAGCCTGCATGTCCCAGTGGAGGTTGTGGCCTTTCAGAAGGTGTTTTGGCATAGGGCTGATTACATCTGCCCACGGTAACTGAACTGAGTTCCAACTAGTAACCTGTATCATTAGGGACGCAGTGATAGTGAATTTCTGGGCCGATACCAATGTTTAAAAAAACTATTTGGCCGATAGCCAAAGCGGATGTTTATTTTGTTATTTTTCGCCCTTCTGCGCCATGGAAACCAAGAAAGCTACTAATATAAGTTGCTCGTCCTTGTTGAAGCTCAGTCTGTTTCTCTTCCCATCCGAGATGTGAGACACCAGCCGCTCACGGTCCGTGCTGCTGCGTGGAGCACATCGCTCTTTGTGTGTTTTTTCTCCAATATCCGAGTTGGAAATAACCAACACAACGTTGAGCCAGCACAAAACTGATGTGACACAACAGATAAACATAAGCCACTGACATCGGTGAATGCCATCTCATTTGCCCATAAATCTATGGCAGTCAACAAGGGGAATATAGTTTCTCATGTTTAGAACAAATCAAATTTCACAAAAAAAGGTTTTCCAAACATTGTCAACGCAACCACAAGAGGTCCTTGAGCATACAGTTGGAAATGTGCACAAAAAATATTAGGCTGGCCGGTAGTATGCAGGATGTGTTGTGGACAGATACACAGACTACTGAAAACATGGCAGAGATAATGCAGTGACTGATGATTTGACACAGAAGTACAGCTGTTTCCTACCTGATGGTGGTGGTGGATGAGTCTCTGCCCACAGACATCCGGTGCTCTCCCTCTCTGATCTGCTGGGCCCAGTATGGATGCAGCCACGCCACGCAGGACACATGGCCGGCATACACCATGGGCATGATCCAGTTTTCTATACTCAACTCACTGAAAAAAATATTCAACACAGTGCATATCGCAACACTCATGTAAAACAAGGTAGCATATTTTCACACTTAACGTAATGGTATCTAGTCATGCACATAGTTGTTTTCCCCCAGCTTTCAGACATCTGGAATCAGGGCCGGGCTACTCTTACTTCAGTAACATTGAAGTTGATTATATGAATGAATGAATGAAGTTTTATTATTGCGTCATGGGTGCAATTACGCCCTGCCAGGACTAGGGTTGCCAAATTCCGGGAATTTTCAAAGTTTCCATGGGAATTAACGGGAATAAACGGGAATTAATGGGAATAAACTGGATATTTTTAATATTGCTTGTTATAATAACTATACATGTAGTTGAAAAGAAACATCTTGCAGGATAATCTTGCTTAAAACAACCTGATTTAATGCAACTTCAGTTGAATGTCCTCCCTATATTCGTCAATGACATGCACACACGCAGTAATCAGCATAAGCTACTACATACTTGCCAACGTTTGTTTTTTAAAATATGGGAGTTTGTTTTTTTTTTTGGGGGGGGTTAATATATAACCCATTGCTATTAACCTATTTGGGTTAATTGTATTGACGCATATAACCATAACCATAACCATAGCAAATCAAAGGCAGCATGCTAGCTAACATCATATGTTAAGCTAAAGGTCAATAGTTTGGGCAACTACTTATGGTGCTATCCATTTGTCTCATAAATCCCCCGCCCGAGTTGCTCTAACCCTAACCCTTGTGGCTCATCTAAACAAGCTCAATGTGAAATAATAATGTTTTTCTACAGAAACACTAACATTTCAAGTAATTCCGTTATTGCAAGTCTTACACTTCAATAATATTTTGCCATTTTCGCCTATTTCAGTTTCAACAAGTGCTGTGGCGTTTGTCTCGAGCCACCAGGGGCCACCAGGGGCCACCAGGGGCAGTGGCAGGCTAGTGTTATTGTTAGCTACATTAGCCTATTTAGCAAACCAGCTCGAAAACAAAACTTTACATTGTATTGCACGCAGAACAACACCGTGCACTGCATAAATTGGTGATCAGACTAAAGCAGCAATGTAAACAAGTGTGTTAGAGATCGACATTAAAATGACCAACGTAGTACAAATACAAAGAAAATACATCTCAATATTGTATTACCCAACTTCCAGGTAATTCTCCTACATTCCCATTAATTCCCATAATTTCCATTAATTCCCATGAAAGTTTCCAAATTGGAATGCTTCCAAAATTCCCCAGCTTATCTTTCTATGGAAAATTTCCGGAAAGTTTTCGGAAATATACCGGAAAATTGTCCGCCCCTTTGAAACCCTAGCCAGGACCAGAGTATCAAGGTATAGGTTGCCTTCTTTTCCACACCTTTGAGACAAAGTTAGCAACTTAAATACACCAAAATGAGAAAGGCATTCCAATTTCTGTTCATCGGTGCACCAGAATATTTCAGGGCTTTGATTCCGAGGAACACCAATTCTCTTTTCAAGAAATCATTCTCCAGGATTTTTCCAGGACATTTTCCAGGAGTTTTCCAGTAGTTTTCCTACTTTTTTATTGATGATGTGTCTTAGTTTCATTTGACACCAAAAAGACTGCTGTGAGTCCGTTCCACTCTGCGTCTGGTGTGAACAACTAGACTGACTGACATGGCTGAAAGGAAAAGGGAGAATTGGAAACACTTTTCAGTTGTGCTTTAAGTCTGCTGTTCCACCTTGAAGTGTCACGCCATGCAAATAAACATTTTTCAGGACAACATCAATTGTTTTCAGGATATTTGATCATTTTAATCAATTTCCAGGGGTCTCCATGACTGGAAACCTCAATGCCCCACCCCCAGCTCTCAACAGTGCAACAAAAGATCTCTAAAGTCTAGATAAACAAGCTGTACCATATAATTCAGGGCCAAAATTGTGTTTAGTGTGCATATATGTCCTTAACTTTGGCCATTAGCTTAACCATTTTTCTTCAAATTTTAGGAAGAGCTTATTTTTGACATTACAACTTAAATTATTCCTGCAGATACACAACATATCGACCTCCTCAAAAATAGAATAAATCTCCTTTGCCCATGGAGACTCGTGTGCTCTACTCCACATACATACACTATTTATTCTGTCCCCTATGTTTTTGAATACAGATCCTATCATCGCAGTGGACCTCATACTAACCTCAACACTGAACTAAATGCAATGGATTATGACCCCGAGTAACATATTCACTAGTAGGGCTGCAACTTACAGTTATTTTCATTATCGATTTATCTGTCCATCATTTTCTTGAGTAAGCATTTACTTGTTTGGTCCATAAAATGTCAGGAAATTGTGAAAAAAGCCCAAGGCCACGTTCTCAAATGTCTCGTTTTGTCCTCAACCCAAAGATATTCAGTTTACTGTCACAGAGGACAAAAAAAAGCAGAAAATATTCACATTTGAGAAGCTGGAATCAGAGAATTTGGACTTTTTTCTTTAAAAAAATTGCTCGAAACGATTAATCAATTATCAAAACAGTGGGTGATTCAGTTAATAGTTGACAACCAATCAATTAATCAATTAATTGTGGCAGCTCTTCCATCCCAACAAGCCACAGAGGAAAGTGACGCCACGGCAGCCACATCCAGCAATCACCTGTTCACATAAGCCTCAGACTGGACAAATACGAGCCACAGCCTCATGATTTGACTTTCCCAGCCCTCTGAACCAGACTGAAGGAAAAGCTTGAGTTAGTTTGAGTTGTAACATACTGTATGTCTAAAACATACCTGAAGAGTTTCTCCTTATCAAAGACGGTGTCAGCAGCCATGTTGACCGGGATGAGCAGATCAGGGTGGGAGTCTAAATGAACCATCTTTATGTTCTTCAGTGGGAGGTGTCTTGATGCAATGGCACGATAGATATGACTCACCACCTAGGAAAGATATGGCAAAACAAGCAATTTTAGGCTCTTTGACTCATTATTATGTGATGAAAAAACATTTATGTTAACAATTATTAAAGCTGTAATTATACATTATGCATATAGACCCATAATCAGAAAGAGCATATCAGAAAGCCATAAAATAAGACATGTGCAGAATCCACAGGAATTACATACACACATAACAACCAAAGTTATTCTATCTTTTATGCAGCAGTAATTGCATCTGTATTTGCAATTAGAGAATGAAGCACAGTTAAAGACCAGAGATGCAGAAATTTGCCAGAGCAGAAATTGTAGGGTTTGGCTGCAGAGGTTGATAAGATCAACGGAGGACAAATCTGGAATTACAGATGGTATCTGAAATAACAAATTAAGAGGAAGCTGTTTAAAGCTGCAGTAGGTAACTTTTATAAAAAATAACCTTTTATCATATTTGCTGAAAACCGTTTACTATATCCTGACAGTAGTACACGAGACAGATAATCTGTGAAAAAATAAGGTTTGGGCAACGCTCTGCATGACTGCAGTGCAGAAAAACATGGCTGTGGTTTGGGTCTGACACAAAAGTGTCCGGTCCACAAAACAGGCTCAAACACCACTAACCTCTTTACCTCTCTTCACAAGAATCATGTCAAACAATACTGAGAGTCTATAAAGCTGCAAAAGTACAACTGATTGTTGTTGTATGGTTAAAAGAAAGTCATATTGCGATTATTTTGATTGCAATATGATTCACAATTAGTGGGAGTGATTATTTGTACTAAACAATTTCATTTTCACTGGAAAACTATTAAAATCATGATGATGTGACATTTGTTTGGGTCTGTTTTGTTTTTTTTACATTTGGAGAACCAGATTCGAAGGCCAGGACATCTGTGCAGCATTACAGTTCATCATAATGCTGTCTGTCACACATTTGACCTATAGCAAACAAATTGCAGCTTCTTGCGATTTGGATACTGCACTGGGCCATAAAACAAATACAATTATATTTTGATTCATTTTGCAGCCTTAATGAGGATATGAGAGTGTGGTCATCTGGCACGGCACTAGTTTGTCTGTCCCATGGTTTAGTAAGCTGATATCTGACCAGTGCTTGCAGCCCATGTTTGGTACAGTAACTGGAGAGCTTGCTCACAGGCTGCTGATTGGCTACAGGGCCAGTGGCGATGAAGAGACAGACCAATACACATCTATCACTGTGCCACTAGAAAACAGGACCGGAAACCCAGAATTAAACTAACAAACGCTACTGAACGAAGAGAAAACTCCAGTTTCCCGCTCACTATAGAAATGATATTAGGTACACTTTTTAAAAACGTGGCACACATTATTACTCTCCAAGCTAAAGGGCGCTCACTGTTAAATCAGTAGGGGGTTTATTCACCTATAGCTAGCTAACGTTAGCTATGTAGTTAAACATACAGGCATTGATGTTGCTGATGGCTCGAGGCACAGCGCTATATTACAGTGTATACTACAGCGGGCTTACATCATGGTGGTCCTCCACTACCCACACCGGCAGCTCCTTGTAGAACCTCTTCAGCGGCACACAACTCATTTTAGAAACACAATGACGTTATATTCACTGCGTCCGTGAAAGAAACGTTGTTCTGAAACCGGACTTTAGCTCGTTAATGTCTCCTCTGTCCCTCTCCGACAGACATTTTGAGGACGTTTGGTCTGAAAGCGTTTGGGACTGACTCCTAACAGAACCGCCTGAGAGCCATTCACCCGGCTGGTAGTGCACGGCACCGGAAGTGACACCAGGCATTGTTTTCATGTCCGGATAGAAACAAGAGTCAGAATAAAAACAGAGGTTCTTACTGTTGTAGTACAGTTAGTACGTAAATTCGGCTTAAGTAAGTTATGTTTATTAAGCCTGAGAAGTATTACATAATATAATATATAATTGTTCAGTTTAGAGACCTGAGGTCAGTAAATATAGTTACCTAGACCACACTGTAAAAACAGTCTGCCAGAGATACACAATGAAAATACCATTAAGAAGTAATATCAATTAAAATAATATGCTTTATGATATGTTTTAAAGCTGCTGTAGGTAACTTAAAAAAAATATATTATTTGCTGAAACTTTCACTACACCAATCAGCTATTAGGCTCCTGTCAGTGGGTGGGATATATCAGGCAGCAAGTGAACATTTTGTCCTCAATGTTGATGTTAGAAGCAGGAAAAATGGGCAGCGTGAGGATTTGAGCGACTTTGACAAGGGCCACATTGTGATGGCTAGACGACTGGGTCAGAGCATCTCCAAACCTGCAGCTCTTGCGGGGTGTTCCCGGTCTGCAGAGGTCAGTGCCTAACAAAAGTGCTCCAAGGAAGGAAAAGAACCAGAGACAGGGTCATGGGGGGCCAAGGCTCATTGATGCACGTGGGGAGTGAAGGCTGGCTCGTGTGGTCCGATCCAACAGACGAGCTACTGGAGCTCAAACTGCTGAAACAGTTAATGCTGCTTCTGATAGAAAGGGGTCAGAACACACAGTGCAGAGCAGTCTGTTGGTATGGGACTCCTCCTAGTGCAATTGAAATTGAAATAATTTGCAAATAAGAACAACCAAGAGTCTCATTCCCAATCAACTATCTTCAAGCCTCCATCCAAAGCATCTTTATTTATTTCTTGGCTCTGATTGGTTGTTTTAATCCAGGCCTGGTGGATTCTTGTAAATGCCATTAGGAGCTCTAGGAGGAGCCAGAAGAATCAGATGATTTTTCACTGATCTGTCTCATGTACTACTGTCAGGATATAATAAGTTAGCATAGTATGTTTAAGCAAATACGGCAAAAAGTTATTTTTATAAATGTTATGTGCTGCAGCTTTAAACATCTTTCACTTTATTTGTCATTTTAAACCTGAACTACTCATCTTTTACTGTTCCAAAATGTTTTGGTATACGGTTATGAATCAAAATAACCGAGCTAAAGGTGCTTCAGTAGAGGATATTCCATTATGTTATCTCTCTAACATGTTCTTTACTATCTTTGCTGTGCAACATACAGGAAACATTTAATTTGATGGATAGCACAATATTTAACAAAATCTCACAATCTAATGGTTAGTAATGACCACTTTTGAGTTTGGCTTTTTTCCAAGAATTAATTAAAATGTACTATTATTAAACTAGGAACATTTTTGTTTGTATTTTTGGTGCATGGAAAACTGCACACAGGCCATACTATAAATATACTGGGAATACAGATACATTTACTGATGTGACATACCGTGGTGTAGCTATGAAAGTTATACCTGGCAGGCTATCGTGAATAAAAACTGTATGTATATGAGAAGCAGTGAGTCCCTATTATATCACAGTGATACCATATCTCCCAGTCAAGGCCTAAAAGAAAGTATGTGCATGGAATATGATTTAAAAAAAAATTAAAATAATAATAATAATAATAATTTTAAAATGATCTCACAGGACAGATTATATTATATTTTTGACATCATGTTGCGGGCCGCATAAGCAGGGGGATGAAGGGCCGGAAATGGTCAGTTTCGGACCATTACTTTAAAATATGTTCGCTCTTGGAACCCCTCTTATTACTCCATTACTATTATTATTATTGACTGGTATTACATCATTATATTCTCTTCGAGGCCACTACATTGCACTCCAATACAGTGGATCTGTCACAAAATCCACAATTAGAAAGATTATAATGTTCCATAGGCTGTTGATATAGAAAGGTGTTAATTCAACTGTGTTTTGTACTGAGATAATATCAGACTTATATTCATCAGGTCGACATAAATAAATGCTAATGTCACTCAGTGTAGGCAGACCTGTTAGCCAAAACATCTGTATAAGGTTATATGACAGTGTTATGTTTACAGCCTTTTCTACTGCCCCCAAGTGGCAGGGGAAAAAATCAATAATTACTGCTGTAAAATTGCCTCTGACACAAATTTAACTGATTTTGTCTATGAAGGCTAACAAGACAAAAATGGAATCCAATTCATTCCTGCTAAAAAATCTAAATGCTGCAAGCTTGACATATAATGCATGTCACAATTACTGTTTCTTATCTGTAGAAAAGTATATTATTTTAATAACCAAAATCAAACAGTGAAAGTGAGGTTATGTGGCGGCATATCAGAGGAGACGCATAGCTGTCTGTGTACCCTGTCAACTGTGATAACAACTGAAGTGCAAGGGGAAACCAGAAGAAAAAGAGGAAACTTGCAGAAAAATACATCACACAAAGAAAGAAGCACCCATCAGCTTGTGTAATCAATAACTCATCAAACACACACAAATTGAAATTCAACCACTAAAAACATTTTTTTCCTTCCCACCTCAGACCAGCTCTATCAGCTGGACCGGTGTTCCTGTATAGATGTGTGATGGGATTTATACAGTATGAGAGTCTGCTTATATATCCACCCTTTGATCTTGGTGGCCTTTGAGAGCAACGGGAGGCTTTGATCTCTTTTCCTTTTTGGTTTGGACTGCAGCCCATATGACAGCAGGACGATGAGTGGAGGTAGCAAAACATACAGAAGAGGGATGAGTGGAGCGGGGAAGAAAGGAAGAGGAAAGAGCGAGATTAAAAGTGTGGCAGCTCACTCGGCGTAGGTAGGTAGGGGGGATGGAAGAGAAAGTGAGACGACAGAGGAAGGTGAACAAAAACACAGCGGGAGATTTGCTGGGGATGAAAGAATGAGAGTAATGGGAGCAAATGGAAAAACACAGAGAATGTAAGGCAAAAGGGCCCTTAGCTCAGGGTTGAGGTAATGCTGACTACATGCATAGGCATGTGGGCATTAGCTGGGTTCAAGTTCAGTTTTACTTTAAAGATTCAGTTCACCCAAATTAAACTGAGGAAACGATTATATTCTCGCTTCTAGTCTGTGTTTGTGGTACTGGCTCTAACAGATAGTTAACATTTGCCCAGATGTTGACATTTTGATGCTTCAGCCTTCATGGATGTGAATGTATTGACCATTCCTAAGTCCCGCCCCTTTTTGCTTAGTGCTCCAATAGCAGTTGTGCAAGCCTCGGTCACTGGCGTCTGAATGGTATATCCGTTGAAAGGGTGCCCTCGAACAAGTAATTAGGTACACGGATAGGCGACAAGCAATTATTTAATGTACATATTTTTAATCTAGTTTAGTAGTTTATTTCAGAATTCAATCTTGTGGATTTATTATCATATTGTATATGCATGCTGCCTCCGCCATTTTACAGAGCCTCGATTCAGTGTACCATGCATCTCTACACTTCATTACAAATTCAAAGTCCCTTACTCGCAGTTGCATTCTTTATAATTGTGTGGGTTGGACATCAGCACTGGTCCATTCATATTTATAAAGTGATACACTGTAAAATGCAAACTAAATTTTTTAAGTTAAAAAAGATTCTTAATCAAGCTTTTGCCAGTAATTTAAGTGACATTAACTTAGATTTGTAAGTTCAGAAACATTCCTGATTAAGTACCTTATACTAGGTATTTTGTTTTCACAGTACAAACAAAAATTACAAAATTAAATCAGTATTTAAATTTGTAATCTACTTGATCAAGAATGTTTATTTTTTTTAAATTTAGTTCTACTTGCTGTAATACAAGGTTGGGTGTGACCAGGTGAGCTGCCATTGTTTTCTGCTATGGATGAATTGAAACTGTGCAGCCAAGGAGAGCAGCTCAACTCGCAGTACATCACCTACGCTGGCTCCGACAAATTACAACCATAATGCTAAACTCGAGGCTTCAAAACGGTACTCCACAAACCAATGGGTGACATCACGATAGGTTGACAATTGGTACCATGTCATGCTTTGTCCAAAGTTAGGCTAAGTTTTGGTGATGGAAAAACTGGCATGGCTATTTTCAGTTCCAGCTGTAGGCATTACATGTAAGAGAGACTATTTTCTTGAAACCTGACTAAACTGCCCTTTAGGATAATCACAGCCTCATGAACACTTTTTAAAAATATACACAGTAGACCTATATCTCAGTATTTCATTAATTTCTGTGAAGAAAACTAAATGAAAATGTTACTTTTAAAGCCTAAGTTATTATTTCAGATCTAAACTTTGAAGACTTGAACACAAAATATATTCACAGAGCCATCAGTGTCTGATAGATCTGATCAGGCAGAAGAAAACTGAATTTGTTTTTTTAAAAAAGCCAATTAAATATGAATGATTAAACATTTTTAAAAAATCATAGTACAGACATAGAACTGTATAACAAGTTCCCAAGTACCAATATCAGTAAAACTCATCTCCAATCAATATTCACAGGAAATAATCTTCTCAAAATTCGTCCAAATCTCTGGTTTTACACAAACTTCCTGCAGTTACCGAGTTCACTGTTTGTGTTCATTGAACAGTTTATCAGCTGTTCTCTACTGTTATTGTTATACATTGAGTATAATATGAACTATACATAAAATATGTCACTTAGGGTCAGTTTACTCAGTGATAGAAAAGAGCTCCCTTAATGAAAAAGGTTAAGAACCACACTAGTTGTACAAAAACGGCAGGCTGGGCTGATATCGAAAGGAAGTTGACATTAAGTTCTCTACCCTATTACATCAAAATCTATTAGTATTTAGAAACAGTTTTGCCATTTGAAAATATCATATGAACTGCATTTTGAATTCCTGTAAAATGCCGTATAAATAACTGCCATATGTGGCTGGGTCCTGTCTCGCGCCCTCTCCTCTCTCTCTCTCTCTCTCTCTCTCTCTCACCCAACTGCCCCCCCCCCCCCCCCGGGGGTTTTTTTTTTTTTT